ATCCACTCATTATTCCCCTATCACTATTCTATATGAATTCTCTATCTTCCGCTTGAATTTACTTTCAACATTCCAATCTCCATTCTGCTCTTTTATCGAAATGAGAAACCAAAACCGGCGCATGAAAGTGCATGGATAATGGTTGTAAAAACTGAACTGAACTCTTATGCACGACCAATGCTAACCGAGCAGTGCACATAGCATGCTGAACAGATCAAATTAAACCAAAATAACTACATTTTTCGGTCTAGTGGAAACAAATAACAACTGAACCCATCATCACAACACAAGTTCGCGTTAAGCATGCAGGTACCATACCAAGCACGACAGTCTTGATTGAAATATCCCAATCTTCTAGAACCGGGATTTTTACGTGAAACATATTCGAGACCTAGTAACAGAATATTATCTTGACTTTAAACAACAGTGCTGAGGGATAATATGTGCAATCTATCTATGAAAGAACAGAACAAAATGAAATTTATGTATATCTGTACAAATGTCCACAGGGTTCTGTTTAAATCAACGGTACACGAGAGACCCATAGCGTAGGCATCTCGTGGACAATCAGGTGTGGTGTCATTAGAACATGTGAAAGACGATTGGTGCTGAATATTTCCACGGGAACGTAACGACGTGTTAACGCTGTACGACTGGCGGTGGAGTCTATGGGGTTTGTTTCAATTTGTTCCACTTGAACGTAAAAGTAGTACGCACCAGGTGTGGACCCGGCTTCTATCGATTGCCGTACCGAGTCGACATTCACTTTGGCGCAGGCCCAGGATGCTAAAAGACCAAACGGCGGTGAACCTGTGGGGGCATATGTGACCAATGAGTCTTGTTCCTCCGCGCTCATCTTGAGTAACCGATCATACCACAAGGAGCCGATTCGCATTCGATCAGTGCAGTCGTGTAAGACCAAACGAAGCGGTTTGAATCGGGCTAAATTGATGCCTATATCATATTTAGCTGAGATAGGAAGGAGATTGAACTCAACGCTCCATAGAATTGATTTTTGCCCGTCTGGTTCTTTGAGGATACGACTACGGTTCCCGGCTGCTCGAGACAGGAGTGCAGCAGACAGACGTAGCTCGATCCCCTGTGATTTGGCAATGCGGATAAGTTCCGTGCGGCCCCGCATCCTGGCTTTACTCTTCCGCATAAGCTGTGGATGTATGGTGCGAAAAGATTCAATAAAAACAGTTAACAATTTGAAAGGAAAACCTGATTCATATGGTGATCATAATAGAAGACAGGCGTGCCATAAATGAAGTGGTTCAACAATACTTGGCTATGCAGCTTCAAAATCCAGATTTGTTGCAAATGTGGTGTTTTGTTATATATTTGATCTTTATACCACTGCATCACCGTTTACTGATAATGTAGATTTTTATCTTTCTATTGTAGCTGATGTACCTACATTGTTAGAAGATTGAAGCCTCATTTCCGGCTGTCCGTTATTTCTCTTTCTGGTTCGTCGCTCGAGCTCATCACAATTTAATCTTCTAACAAAGATGGATCGCTTATTTTGCCCGGAGCGATTTGATACCAAACCTCGTTCTTCATCCGCTTCCGAACAGTGGATTCCTTGGCATGAAACATTCCGCAACTTAATATCTACAGTCGATCTACCCAGCATACATAAGAAAAAGTTGCTGGTGAATTTCATATCGCCGTCCGTTTACCAACACATAATCCACTGTCCTGATTATGAAGATGCTATTAAAACCCTTGAAGGGCTGTACGTTAAAACAAAGAACGAAGTGTTTGCATTACATCTACTGGCAACAGCAAAACCAGAACAGGGATAAACGATTGATAAGTTTACACGGTAACTCAGGGTTCTCGCAAAGGATTGTTACTTCGTCGTAGTTTCCGTCGAGAGACATCTCGATGAAGCTATCAGTGATGCCTCCAATACGGGGCTGCTTTCCAACGATATTCGCCAGCGGCTTCTTGAGAAGCAAACCCTAATTTTGCAGTGCGCTTTTAATGGGGCTCGTACTGTGGGGAATACACAGTAGCAGTCGCTCACTTACAATTCAGTCTTACATGAGGCCTGCAGTTACATGTCTAATCAGACAGTTTCACCATTTCAATACGTCCTGGAGTTTTTGATTCACAACCCGAGATCACCGACCTAGTTGCCGTGGTTTCTGCCAAATTCTTTTTCTGCGGAAGTTATCGACATGCTCGTTCGAAATGCCCAGCTCGAGAGGCCGCATGTAGTTCTTGTGGAAAGAAAGGGTATTTCCAAAAGGTTTATCGATCTAATTCCAACACTCATCTCAGACGTATAGTATCTGTGTTAAATCCAACCATTTCGTCCGTTGTCGCAGGATCATCATTCGTCGGTCTCTCCAATTCCACGGTAACAATTCAAGTCACTGGAATAACTCTGAACGCGCTTATCGACACAGGCACTTGCGAGAGCTATCTGTGCACCAGCATTGCTCCCAGGCATCGATGGCCTGTAGAGTCATCCAAACATATCAATGGCTTCCACTCATCTGTCCTGTGTTACCCAAAGGCATGTGTACGCCTCTATTCTATACAAAAACACACTACAATAGGGTAAAACTTTCCCTTTTAAAAGATTTATGCACAGACGTCATTTTCGGTCTAGATTTCCTCGGCCGACATCAGAATGTCATCATTTCCTTCAATGGTAATCGTCCACTTTTCTCTGTATGTACCCTCAATGCAGTAAAAGTGGACAATCCCCATTTGTTCAAAAATCTAGCGCCAAATTATGCCCCAATCGCTACGAAATCGCACCGTCATTCAGTTTCCGATCACAATTTTATCGAAGCCGAAGTCAAACAGTTATTGTTAAACAAGGTTATAGAGCCTTCAACATCTCTTTGGCGAACACAGGTTCTTGTAACAACCAACAAGAGACATAAGCAACGGATAGTAACCGACTACAGTCAATCGATAAACCGTTTCACTTATCTGGATGCTTATCCTCTGCCACGAGTGGATGAACTAGTGGAGAGTGACTCAATGTNCACTTGATCTGCAAAGTGCCTATCACCAAATTCCCATTCGAGAAGAGCAAAAGCCATATACGGCATTCGAGGCTTGTGGTAAATTGTATCTATCAGTCCTGCCGCATTCCATTCAGGTTACGAACGGAGTGGCCTGCTTTCAACGTACGATAGATAATATCATCCATAAATAACATCTGATAGATTCACGTATGTGGACGTCACAGTGTGCGGTCGTGACCCGGAAGAACATGATAGAAATCTCCGCAACTTCATGGATGCCGCTGAGAAACACGATATAACTTTCAATGAACACAAGAGTGTAATTGGCGCTAACAAAATTCTTCTTCTCGGGTACGAAGTTTCCAAAGGCTTAATCAACGATTCTCAGCCTTGAGAGACCTAACTCCCCCGAAGGACATCGCTTCGCAAAGACGAGTGGTGGGGATGCTGGCGTGCTATGCTCATTGGATCCCTCACTTCTCCGATAAAATTCACCCACCAGTGCATAACCACACCTTTCCCATTTCGGACAGCGTAAAATCCTCTTTCGAAGAGTTGAAGAAAGAGCCAGAAAAGGCAGCTATTTTTACCGTTGATTACAGCCACTCACTAATCGTTGAAACCGACGCATCCGACATCGCAATAAGGGCAACACTCAATAACGAAGGGACGTCCGGTGGCTTTCTTCACACGTACCTTGTCCCCTAGTGAGCGCCACCACTCAGCGATCCAAAAAGAAGCATGCGCTATCGTAGAAGCTCTAAGGAAGTGGAAACCTTCTACTCGGGAACCACTTTACTCTTATCATGGACCAGCCTTTAGTTGCCTTTATGTACAACAAGCAGCACAAAAGTGAAGTGAAAAACGATAAAATTCAGCGATGGAAATCAGAGCTATCATGCTTTCACTTCGACATCCAGTATCGGTCTGGGGGGCAAAATCAAGCTGCCAACACAGTCTCCCGAAACCGATGTATTTCAACGATGTCACACACGGACTTGAAACAGTTACGAAAAACTGGGTCACCCCGGTATCACACGCTTGTTGCACTTCATTCGTTCTAAGAACTTACCCTTCTCTATAGACGATGTTAAAAAAGTTGTAAATGAATGTGAAGCATGTGCACAACTTAAGCCCCGCTTTTCCAAAATTAATAAAAGCGACCAGAACGTTTGAAAGAATCAGCATTGATTTTAAAGGTCCACTTCCCTCCATCTACCGCAACAAATATCTTTTGACCATGATTGACGAATACTCTTATTTGGAGTGCCGTCTTATGTTCATTCTGATCGTGGCACTGCCTTTATGTCGGATGAACTGCAAAGTTTTTTTCCACAATAAGGGAGTGGCAACCAGTTGAACAACTCCATACAACCCACGGGGTAACAGACAGATCGAGAGATTAAATGAAACTTTGTGGAGAGCCATTACTGTGGCACTGAAATCTCAAAAGATGGATATAAAGTACTGGAAACATGTTCTACTGGGAGCTTTACATTCAGTCCATTCCTGTTGTGCATTGCCACCAATGAAACGCCTCACGAGATTTTTAACATTCAATCGTAGGTCTACCAATGGTACATCTCTCCCGACATGGTTGTCGACTCCGGGACCAGTTCTTCCCAAAAGAATGAATCGAACTTCAAAATATGATCCCCTAACGGAAGCGGAACTCTTAAACTGTAACCCACAATATGCTCATGTACGTCTTCCGAATGGAAAAGAGGATACTGTATCATTGAGGCTGCTTGGCCCGAAAGCCTCTACATCGGAAAACACTCATGAAACTACAGATCAGCATGTGCACCTCACCGAAGAACAATCCACACCTTCAGTGGTTCAACTGGAAAATGAAACTTCAAAATCAGAAATCCAGCCTGATGCTACGGATTACACTCAACAGCTCGTAAGAAACCAGCAGCGTGTCCACCCATGCAACCTTCGAAGTAGGGAGGTTTGAGAAACGCACTGATTCACAGACATTTCACTCAGCGCGGAAGAATGTGCTGATTTTGTTATACCTTTGGTCTATATACCACTGCATCACCGTTTACTGATAATGTAGATTTTCTATCTTTCTATTGTAGCTAATGTACCTACATTGTTAGAAGATTCAAGCCTCATTTCCGGCTGTCCGTTTTCTCTCGTTTGTCGCTCAACCATTCGAGCTCATCACAGAAACCTTCGCATAACATAGCAAAAATAATAGGACAGCTTGAGACTTCGTCAAGTGCTCTCCGTGAGCACCTCAATAAATCGAACAAACTGAGGTTTATCAAATGGCGCTCCTTTCGACCACCAATGCAGCGAAGAAACTGGGAACAATAGATGCATTCTCCGACAGTTTGTTCATGTTGAAACAACAAAAAAGAATCCCGAGATAGTGTGTTCTTGACGAATACCGCTATTTCACTCTACTGATAGTGTATGAGTAAATGTCGTCACGCAGTGCGACAGGTTATTTTTCTACATTACTCATACAGTCTACACACTACAGCTTCTCAGAAGCCAAGGGTCGAATTCCGCCTAATAGTTAAGATAATATAGGGGAAATACAGACCTTGCTTATCAGACAAAACAAATGGCAAAGGAATAGATAGCTTTGAAAGATTGGTTCATATGAATTATTTTGAGTTGACATGAAAATTGTAGATAATAAGTCCAGATCTCTACTGCCGCATTCTGATAGATTACTCTTGTAAATCATTTTCTGTGAAATTTCTGTCGCATCTGAATTACCTTATTATTTTGAACATGATGTTGACTGGTTTAATTGCGCTCACTTACACGTACGTTACATCCTTAAGTGTTTGATTCTCTCTAGCCTGCAGGGACCTACTACTCAGTCCATTCAGGAGGCCCTTGGTTATCCTCCAAATTACGGACCGAATGCTACTTCAGCCGGTCAACGAAGACTGTATTTGTTGCTGGAGAATCTAAACCACAAGCTGGATCCACAGATGTACGGGAAATTCGCATCGTTGGTGCATGTACAATGTCATCCGATGGGAGACACCTTGATTGCCTGACGTAGCCTTCGAGTACTGCCAGTTATTCCAAACCAGTACCGAATTTGTCACCAAAACGAACTTGAGTCACGTGGTGCCTTCAGCATTCGGTTTACTAAAATTGGGTGCACGACCAACGACTATATTACGGATCTATGGAGCACCACTTTTGCTTGATCTGACCTACGTCTGTAGGTTTCGATAAAGACGTCGAATATACATTCGTCGATCAGCATACAACCACTGCTGAGTCGACTTGAATAAAATCAGGTATTTAGTTTTATCTGTATCGTACTGCGGATCGCATAAGGGCATCCTTTAATCACCCTATAAAGTATACAATAATACACCGAGTTATTTTAGAGGAGAAACCTAATCGTTTCCCTGTCTCATGGTTGGGTACAATGGTATCAGCCATCCATCAAAATCAAACGTGTACACAAACCGAACAGCAGTCCGTACTACACCAGTTTTCACTCAGAATAAGGACAATGCTGTCCATTCCATCGAGTGGAGTAGAGTTTTAGATGGGCTGCTGCACAGACATTCCGACCTTTGATACATTTTGTCCTATTTACCGAACCCTATCCTTTTACTTCTTCCGACTCCCAACATTCCATCAAATGACCTATTTGTCACCCAATAAGGCTTGTTATCTAATGGTAAAAAGTAGTTTTCCGCCAAATAAATCGCAAATGCTGAATCTGGGAATCTTCAACGTGCAGGTGGGCCGATAAGCGTGTCTTCAGCGAACAATGAACTTTTTGGAAATCGATGTATGCTTCTTATCGAAAAAAAATTCGGTATTCTAGTAGTATAAACCAATCGAGTGAGCCGGATTGTCCTCGAGGTATTTTCTTCGCACATCAGGAGACGATGAAGCTCGCTCACTGGGACAGCGTGGAGTTGGAATCGCACTAGACGATAAAGCCGAGGTCTCACTGATAGATGGGATATCCATCAACAGTTTCAGTTTTTAAAAGGATTAACTATACACTTTCATACGCTAGTTTTGGTTGCTGTCTTTTGCCTGCCCATTTGGAAAAAGGAGCAGAATGAAGAATGGAATGTTGCGAGCAATAAGTCTCCAAGGTTTAGTTATTGTTCGGAAGGGCAGCAACACCAAAAGATGTTTGTTCATCATCTCTGGATATGCACAAACCAACTGCAATCCCAATTCATTGGATGAATTTTACGACAAATAAACCTAACTCAGATCCGATATTATAATGCTTGCACGTGATTTCTGATGATTCCTGACTGAAAAAATCACGAAGTGCTGTTACTTCATTTCACTTTCTGTTTGCTCTCTATAGGACAAAAATCATGTTCATTCCTCCCATCTCCCCATTCAGAATGATCTTCCAACCCCGAGTGAAAGTGTCTCCACTAACAACAAACTTTTGTATGCTCTGTACAGACACCATTATGAATCATTCGAAAACAATTGTTCGCCTTCGGATTCGTGTACGCAAGTGTAGAAAAGAGTTAGCTAGTTCATCATTATGGGGGTGCAGATGTGATGTTTGAATCAAACTGCCGCCACCTAGAGCTCTTCTCTTCATGTTACATGGTTTCTCTTTTATTAGGGACTTCTTCTCGATCACTTTGACAAATGGGAAAGTAAAAAAGCCCCAGTCCTTTATTACTCGTAAAACATTTTAGCCTGCAAACTGTTCACTTTCAGGCTTGTCTATGAATGACAAACGGACGGCGAACCTTATTATCACTCGAGTAACTTTGGAACCTTAGTCCAAATTGCAGTCACTACCTATGCTTTCCGAGTTATTCATCATATATCATCACCACATAATCTGATCACCTCAACGTTGTTTCCTTCATCCTGTCGCATAAAACCGTAGATGTTGTGTTTCAGCAAACGATTATTCGAAATATACAGCATATCTTAACCAAAGAAGTTTACACGAGTTCGTTTATAATGAGGAGTGTTCTGTCGAAGCACTCAGCGTTTCGTGAACCATTGAACCTATATGAACGCGAGATGCCAGTTTTTTATTACACATCACTATGTGAAGGGGTGTATTGGATTAAACCCATGTTCACTTATAATCAATCATCAACCTAAGCTCCCTTCAGAGATCCAATAGCAAACGACACGAGGACTCGAGTACAATGGAATGATCACAATAACCATGTCTCATTGAACGTTTGTCACTCAGGAAGAAGAATCCAATAAATTATATAAATATGGCTGACATGATCGAAAGAAAACCTGTCACACTGAATATAGAGTGATTTTGAATAGACAATTGAAGAAAGGCGGGGCTAACAAACTTACTGAGAATAATTGTTTTTCTCGAAAGGCATTTTTCCGATCGATCTCCTCTAGTAGATGATAATCCTGCTGGAATGCAAAAGTTCCGTACTCATTTCGGCGATAGTAAACCACTGGCTCTCGAACGCCAGTGCAAGAAAATTTCTGTTTGTGTTCAAGGCAACAAGCCAAAGAACAAGTATGCATCTCACACCTTGGGCATGTGTACTTATGGGGATTGTTACAACAAACTTGGCATGTCAATGAGACTTCCATCTAAAAACAAAAAAAAAGATTATTAAACCTCACAGGGATAAATGCAAACAAATCCAGATCCGTATGAGAGGCAACCATATTCAACGACAAATTACGAGCTTCAGACGAGGCCCCGTTTCAACATCAACACTGTTAGTCAGAATTTATTCTATGGGGAAAAAGACTGGAGTTTAAAGAAAAGAAGTTAATTTAAATCAAGAAAATTATTCTCCATGACAGCGGTCTATGAAATGCAAAATTGAAGTAATTTTTCAGCGTCTACAAAGATGAAATATATATATATATTTACCACCGGCTTGAAAACAAGCATGCTGCCAACGCAACAACAATGACAGTGAAGGGGATAGGTGGATTAGGATACAGAACATGGTGAAAAGTGAGTGAGACAGTTAAACATGGAAAACACAAGATAACAGAATTTTTTGTGTTTCACCGTACACTTTTTGCAATTTTTTTTGTTGTTTGATGTTTCGTTTTTCTTAAGGCGCACGGGATTTCGATAGACAGATCGTACAGCATTCGCGCCACTGACTTCTATTCTGCGCCATATGTCTCAGCGTCTCTAACCATAGACAATCCTCATCCCTTGGGCCCCAACCTGGAAGGCGGGCTGCACCAACCGAAACCAAAGCTGAAGCCAGCTTCTTCATGCCTCTAGCCCATGTCATGGTCTGACCGCCGCGCCGCTTCTTCCAGCCTTGCCTGGCACGTGCAAAGAGAGCACGGAAAGGAAGTCGATGGGCAGGCATACGCAATACGTGACCCAGCCATCGGAGGCGGTGTAGAGCGATTACAAAGATGAAAATCAGGGGACAATTAGCTAACCTAACGATAGTGTGAGAAAACCTTTGAATAAGGAACCCACGGTAAGTGTTTTCCCAATTATTTGGAACTCTCCTCAACTGCTTCAACATATTCCGATTTTATTAACCACTAATAAAGATTGTACACATACAGATTAGGTCATACGAAGTAGATAATGACATGATGCCCGAACAGAAGAGTTGTAGTGAATCGAACAGTAGACAATGCGTTTGGGGCTAAAATGACATGGTTTTTTTTGGTGAAAGCAATGGAACCACGTAAACTAATGATCAGCATGTATTGCTTTGATCACCCCACACGAAGGAACTGTTTGCCGATATACAGGGTACCAGCGATGTGTTTTGCTTCTAAAAGCAATACTGCCAGCCCTCGGGAAGGTTGGGACCAATGGTAAACTTTCACCCTCATTTTCTGTCACCAGTGAGATGCGACAGGATTGTTCTATCTCTCCGTTTCTCTTCAACTTTGCTACAGATGATGTTCTACAAAACGCGTTACATAACGTAACGAACGCTAGCGTCGAGCTTCGTCTTGCAGACAATCGTAGACTTAGGATATGCCGATGATGTTGCCTTACTCTGTAACAATCCACCGATGATTCAAGAGTCGGTGAATTGTTTGGCGATTGAGGATACTCGTTATGTCCTTTGCACCTTCAAAATGCAGTGTTGTTACAAGACTGGCATTTTTTTATTACACACGAAGTGATTTACAGCAAAAGGAGCAAGCCCATAATCAACGATATATTGCAAGGGGGAAGTATGTGAGGGAACATTCAAGTAAGAACCAATCTGTTAATCCTGCTTCTGAAAAGGGTAAGGTTATAAGAGCTGGGAAACACGGAAATGGGAAGTGTTCCACAATTTCGCAATCCTCTGGAAAAAGAAGATTGAAAGATAGAAGTTCGCATGAACATACTTCTGCACTTTCGTTGGGTAACCGCACTCTGAAAGTAGTCGAAAGCTTCGTCTACCTCGGGAGTTTTATAACCGCTGGCAGTGTGTGCGAGATATCTCAACGCGCGATCAAAGCTAGATAAGCGTTTGCTAATCTGCGGCGTCCCTGGCACCGGTGCGACATAACCCCATTCACTGAAAGGGTGTTCGTATTGCGTAACGGTACGCACCGCGTTGCGCCATAGCTGCAAAACCCGGCTCCTCCGAGTAGATCATGTCCAACAAATATCCGTCTTTGACAACCGTTGTCCGTGGAACATCACCCGCGTAAGGTGGGAGCATCGAGTGAATAACGATGGAATCAGATGACGTGTTTCAGGATCATATAGCCTTTCATTGTGCAAACCAGTTTCACTGCATCGTCTTAGGTGGCTGGGGGCATATCCTACGAAAGCCTAATTAACGTCTGCCATACCGCGCACTATTTGCAGATACTGATCCGGGCTGGAAGAAACAGTGAAGTGGGCAGGCTAGGACGTGGAGTAGAGGATTAAAGAGACTATGCTCGGATATAGCTTCCGTTGGGGCTTCCCGGCTGGTGTCCCAAGGATTCCGAGTGTTTTGGTGTGATCGGGTCGGTTGGTGACTGCTCACCCTTCCTTTACACCTCGCGAAGTGCTCTTGTATGACCATGCGCCTCAAATAGCTTCTGCGAGGAAGCCCTACTCACTGCCTCCTCGTGGCGGAGGTGTTTTCCAACCAAAGTGAGAGAACAAAAAGTCAACATCCGGGACTATAACCCGGTTGGTGAACCATTGGCAGTTCACTTAGGGGAGTTAGCTGAAACCATGATTGCAAACCAATTAAGCGGCGTACGAAACACACGCCTTTCCAGTTGTGGCTGCGGTCACCGGCTTGATCGGGCACCTTGGACGTTCGACAGTCTAAACGACATAGGATCCGATGAACTGGACACCGCCCCCCTATTATTATTGTTGTGGCGTCGGCACCATGCTTCTCTACAAGCCCGTGTTAAATATATATATACTGTCCTTGGGTTACAGGGTTTGATCGGTTTACTGTAGTTGTATTTTTTTAAATGGAACCTACCGTCCTAGTCGCACAAGTGCACCCCTTGCAGGGTCAGGTCAGTTTGCACAGGACTGATGATGGGTACGGTCAATCCAGCTTCCAGATTTCTGGCATTGTGCTCACCACCAACCACTGCGAATTCTCTGCAGTAAGACATCCTTGCTGAAAAGGCAGAAAGAAAGCTCCTCCCACCTCGTCCGCGAAAGAGAGGCATGCATCATGAAAGCGTTTCGTACACTGATAATCTTATTCTGAGGGGTACTTCATCCATCATTCGTCCATAGCTTCTTTAAATGCAGCTACGCTTCCTTAATCTAATAATTTCTTTGGAAAACGGTTTCAGTTCAACACTCTGTTACTGTAGAAAGTTGATCTAACAACA